TCCAAAAAATTGTTCATTTTCGAGCACTTCGACGGATGAAGTGCATGAGGAGAATCCCCACCAAATAACTGTTTTGCCTTTGGAAAAGTCTGCTCGTAAGTCCTCTTTGACTCCTCGAAAGAGAAAACGGCGAGCTGGTGGGAGACGAGATAGAGCAGTCAGAACAAGTCGAAGATAGAGAAACCAAGGTTTTAGTTTGTGTCTATTCTCAGAACGTAGAGTTTTGTTGAGTATGGCATAAACAGAGTTCTCGCTTGGAATCGCTTCATATGAATAAAGCATTATTGAAGCAGACTCATCACTTGTCAAACCGTCTTCCGGTTCGCTACAGTTCTGTTTGACTACGTATACCATTCGTTCGACTTTAGGTACTATGGATACGATAGGTTTGACAGCTTCCTCGAGAGAGACGAGAGGCATGTTCTCATAGCCTTCGATCGGCGCTAGCATTCGTTTCGGTTGTGTACCCAGATCGGCAAAACGAAAAGAAGCCTTGGATTTTTCCGGATGTTTGGAAGCCATCTGAAGGTTGAGATCCTATATAAGAATTTCCTTTTGTTAAGTCACATTCTTCAGTTGCCACATTGAGAAAAAGAGAGATTCCTCTGTGAAGACTTGTTCTTAATTCAGCTCTCTCGTGTGTCTGGCGAGCAGAGAATCTAATTGCGATTGGATTCAAGCCGGATATGTGACAAAGAAACAAGGGACTCCGACTAAGAACAAGTCGATTAGGGCATATTTAAAACAGTTAATTTTGATAGAGAGATTTTGCCCATAGAGGCAGTGTACTCTTTTGTACCTAAATGAATGAAACGTGTTCTAGCGAACACTTAGACTAAGGTTAATGGCGAAAAGAAATCATTGTTTTTTAGAAAGCACATTCTTTGACTTACCGCCAAGTAGAAAGCAAGATATGAAATGAAATTGTGTTTGATTCACCTGTGTACACTCATTTATATAGTCACTCTTTCGTCAATGCAGCCAGCAATTGCTATTTACACAAGTCCACGCTACTTCAGCCTTGTAGATTGCAGAGCAAAATGGAAGAGAGAGAGACCGAGAGACGGCATTGAAGTTCGTGACAATGTTTTTTTCGCAAAACAGAAACAAGAGTTGTGTTGCAAGGCGTTCCGAATTCGAGCGTCGAATACTATTTTCTTTTCACTTCAAAGATACATCATTCGATAGAAATTTTCATGCTGATTAAGAATATGTTACTTTGGACTTTTTTAGTGCGCGTTTTCAACGAGAAAAGTTCAAAGTACTGAGAGGGACTCTCTTTTCGAAAATCCGCCAACGTTTTTTGAAAATGGTGTAACTTCGTTGCAAATGGATTAGGAGACAATAACTTCTGAGCACATCACTTTTCATTTACACTTTTGTTTGACGGTACTCATCTTGCAAGCCACGTGCAGCCTTTTGGTTAAGAGGTGAAGAGAAGTTTTAAACAGTGGTTTTGGGGTGGTATCATTGAACAGAACATGAGATTGCACTCTCGTTCCAATAATCCCCAGTCGGGCAAATTAACTATTAAACGGAAGAAAAATTTATTCCACCACTGGTTCTTCTTCATGTACCACAGAATTCATTTATTGTATGTACTGATGAATAGTTTAATTTATATGGTACTCCTATCAGTGGCTCAAACAGCAGTCTTGTGATACTTCAAAATGATACATTAACACGGTCGGATATTGATGTGTTTAACATTCAGAAATCTACTACTGGCATAGATGATATAAAAATGCGATTTGTTACTTCAGATATTGATAATATAATGGACTATGTGCAGCAAATTCCATCCTTCTATAATTCAAAAATCAAAATAATTAAATGGAATACATTATCTTCTTCTACAACATTAACTGCGGCTGGCATTGCGGCTGTTATTGTTTTTCTTATTCTAATCATAGCAATTGTCTATTTATTGAAATTTAAAGTACGTAGAAAAGAAACACCACTTCATAATGTTGAAAATAATCTGCCCAATCAACTACAACAATTAGCACCAGCACAAAATCCATTATACGATTATTTGTACTACTAGCTGTTAATGAAAACAAAATCAGAAACAGCTGAAACAGATAATAGCAATCAGCGATGGTACTTATACTATTAACTATAGCACAAAGAAAAAACAGGAAACTTACATCAAACTTACACGAAACTTTTACTGTTACACTCGATTTCATAATTTTATGATATAGTTTATTCAATAAACGTCCTTAAATACTAAACACACCGCTCTTCCGAATAGAAAACTGGCCATATTGCTAACATTCGAAAACCATCTTCGATGATGCTTCGTCTCATTGAAAACACGAGTATTTTCTATTTTAAAACTGAAGGAAACAGTATTCTGGAAAACCGATTGTACCATTCGATAGAGCTCATCGAGTTCTATCTAGCACAGTCAACAGCAAAATTGGTACAAGCGTTAATAAAAATATTAGTCGAAATATAGAAATCAGCTGCTAACGTCCCTTACGTAAAAAATTGACCAATTAATAGATTAATTATTCTGAAATTTAGGGCTCGCTCCGCGCGGAACCAAGTTAGATAAGAATTGGGTGGTAGACGCAAAATTAGTCAGCGAATCCGACAGAGGGTTTCTTTTAATTTCATTGTGACTTCTTCTCTAGCGTCGACATGATCAAATAAAATTTAGGCAAAAACCACGTAGGTCATGTCGAAGCTAGAGAAGACGTCAAAATGAAATTAAAAGGAACCGCTGTCGGATTCGCTGATAAATTTTGCATCTACCATCCAATTTTTATCTAATTTGGTTAAGCGCGGAGAGAGCCCCAATTTTTTTTCTAATACATTCTTGATTTTGTTGACAAGCTCTCGAAAAGATAACTCTCACTGCTTCTGTTATCAAACAACGTTTTGTGTTTCGCTTGCTTTTTCACCGAGATCTGTGTTTTTCGTTGAAGTTTCTCGTAATACCACCGGAATGCGAAATCTCGGCGGAATTTTAAAAGATACAACGTCATGGGTTGCAATCAGTATTTTAAATACGGTGTCGTCCTATTACGTTATAGTCAGATTTAGCCGAATATAATAACACTAGTTTCAAATTCTATTAATTTAGTTAATTGAACTATCACATCTGTATCGTTCTCTTTTTAGTTTTTACTTCCTACGAAAGAAGTAACCACGTACTTGTTTATTCGAATAATGACATTTCATCAAATATTTTAATGATTTAATATAATGAATATAATAACTCTTTCTAGCTAATGTTTTTTAACTAACTTTTAAAAGTTTTATCCTAGTCGAGAATTGAATAAGATTTTGGTTACATTTTAGTTTATAATTTTTTTATAAGGTTCTTATAATTCTATAGTAACAAATAAAAAATATTTAAAACTTTGCACTCGTCCTCCAGACAACAAAAAACAAAGTTTTTTCTAGTTTTGTTTTTTGTTTTTTGACTATAATAATCGTATAAACTTGTATAGGAATCTTATACATTTCTTACATAAGAATCTTAGAGCCGTATGCATTTCTATAGACTGATGAATTAAGATTTGTGTAAGATTTCTATAAGATTCTTATAAAAAAAGCATCAGAATCTTTTCTAAGATTGGTTCTCTAGGGTATATACTAGACAACATTTTGTAAATATCTGATTGATTTTGATTAATCATAATATTATCAATATCTTTTCAAAATCTATGCTCAGGTGGGTGATTTGAGTCATTAGCAATATTATAAGCAATAGTGCAATTTTTTAATACTTCTGTATAATTTTGCATCAATAATATTATATGTTAATCTAAGACACGTATCACTCGATGAAGATACTTTTTTTTGAATATCTAAACATTTGTTCATTGTATCTAAACTTTGTGTAAGATTTTGTTGATGTTTATATAACATACTAATATTATTACAAACGGTTGCCTATGATAATTGATCATCGGATAACTATTTCAAATGAAAATCTGATGCTTTTTGATAATATTTAAGAGCCTCTGTAGAATTATCTCTCTCATCTTAACTTAATCCCGAATTATTATGCACAGCTTCTCTACTCTTATCATCATCTTTCATGTGTTCTGAGCAACATTAAATAAAACTGCTCCTATTTATCGTATTTTCCCATGTTTGTCATTAATCTTCCTAATGTAAATATATCATTATTATCACCACAAGGTATTTGTCTTTTCATATGGTTTTTCAATTATTTTAATTGTTCATCCTCTTCACCATTTAATAATAATCTTACATTCCAAATACTGATATTCTTGTTACTGTTTACCACTGATTTTATTCGAAATTCAGTACCAACTAGAAATAATTTATTTCTTCTTTAGATTTAAAAAATTTTCATTTAAATATCATAGAACAGATAAGAACATTTTCCGGTGTCAATTTCTATTTCAAATAAAATTGCTTCAAGTTGGGGATGGTTTAATGATGCACGAGAAAAATCCATACTAATTTCACGATCAATGGATGTTCATAACAACCTATTTATTGATAAGAAACCACCAACATTATTTTGTAATTTATCAAATTCAGTGATAGTCATCCGTTGTCCACGATAGACAGTCAATATTTTCGTTTTATTATTATTCGAGGATGATGAGTGAAAATTTTTTAATTGATGATGCAAATCTTTAATATCGTTTGGTCCAGAATAAATGACTCTCCTCGTATTTTACTTATAATCCGTCTGTTAGGTCGATAGTTGCGTTTCTCCTTCTGTGTACAGGCATGCACCAATACAATATATTGGTTCCCAATAATATTGCTTACCCAATCTGTTGGAACCAATAATTATTTGTCACCCAATCTATTGCGTTTTCACAATATTACTGGGTATTGGGTCACTTCAGTTCGGCCTACTTTTACAGTACAGATGCATGCTTTACATCCCGTTTTGAATCAAAATATAACTCAATTAGGCATGCACCGATTTAATAATCAGTATTAGGGCATTCAGCAAAGTCGTTCCAAATCAGTTATAAAAAAGCTCTTAGAGCTGCCGAACGCCTCATTTTGTAGGAAATGTTTGCTCTGCCAAACTGAAGTGCATATGAGTAATGAATATTATTGTACAATATTATTGAGTGACCAATAATTATGGGTCCCAATAGATAATGATTGGTATTGGTGCATGCCTATCTGTGTAAAGGTGAATTCTAATACTGATTTGCATTTTATTAAGAAAGTCGCCAGATGTAAGTGACTTTTTGAGATAGGATGTTTCTCCTCGTTAGGTTACTATAGTTCACCGACTTTTTATTATGACAAAGCAAACATGAATTAACATAGACAGTGAATTTTGTAGATAATACTACTATGAGGCGAATACTATACTGTGTCCGAATGACAGCCCATTCTCACTTCACAGAAAAACCCGTATTTCCTGATAAAAACCCGTTTCATTTTCAACCCGTCTTCATGACCAACAAATAAGCCGACGCATTTAAACGCACAAACAGCGTTTTTTAAAATAAAGTTTGCGTTTCGACGCATTATTTCGCTGAAAATTCTTTCGTGGGCACCACTCAGTTGGATGATAAAAAGAGGAGAATATACGCATTTTGTAGCTCTTGAAAAGTTCTATCAATCAGTATCAGGTGCACAATGCAAAATCAATCTTTGAGACTTGCATCGATTTTCTCCTCTTTTAGGTTTTGCAAAATCTAACTATTTGAATGTGCAGATCCGGAGCTCCTGGAAAATGCGGTATAACGAGGCCAAAATAGCACCTTTTTAGTTCGATCCTGTTTTATTTTTGGAAGAAATGACACCTGTGCCAGATGCAGCGGCGAACGTTACATTAAAGCTTTCTTCATAAATTCATGTACCGAACAATAGCAGATTTTGGTCAGTTTGGGGGGAATTTTGGAATGTAAGATTTTTCAGTGCCAGTCAATGATCCAGGAGACAGACACACTTTTACGACAATTACTTTCACAAAAAGGACTATTACAACACCTTCAAGACCACTCAAGGATAGTGAACATTTGCCTCATTTATACTAGAATCTCAGGGGCCACAGATCTGGTGTTCTATTGAAACCTAGAGTGGTTGATATAAAATCTCTGACAGTTCCTATGTCTGACTTTTTAGGTCAGACATCGAGACCTATTTTCGAAGAGCATATTTCCCATTATACTGTACAAAACCCGTTAGTGTTCCTCAGACATCTTGACAAACATAACATGACGGATGATGTACTATTAGCGACAGTTGAAATCACAGATCTTTATACAAAGATACGTCAAAAAGAAGCCGTATCGGCTTTATGCCGACTACCGGCGCACACAAAACACTTTAAAATCAATAACATTTCTATAGACACTCTTGCAAAACTTACTCGCCATGTTCTCAAAAACTCATATTTTACATGTGAAAATAACTACCAACAGATTAGAGGTGGAGCAATAGGCAGTGCAGTTACTCAAGTGTTGGCAGACATATACATGTATGAGTGAGAAAAAGATTTTCTAGGAATTCAAAATGCTGAAAATCAACTATATCTGCGCTTTCAAGATAGCATTTTTCTTACTAACGATCTATCTTACAGACAGATAGAGCAGAGATTCAACGCTAAGAATACCATAGAATATGCTATATAATAGAAATATGCCATATGTTGCGCATATTGGAGCTATACGGATCTGCTCGGACGAAAATGATTGCAAACTAGTCTGATGAAGTTCGTTTTCGACTTTTGTTGAACAAATACCCATCATGAAACTCAGCTCACCGATTACTGACAGAGCTACATGTAGGCGCTTTAACAGTATTATTCCAAAACTATTATTGTTTGCGACAAAATTTGGCGGCAGAAAGACACATCTTACGGAGAAGACGACAAAGCGATTGGAGGAAAGACGTACTTTTTTGTTTTTCATGTGTTCCTTCCCATCAGACATATCTCTTGCGATTAGAAGCATAGAATTCATGCTGTGTACGGATTATGATCTGGTTTATAAATTTCAATAATTGTTTATATTATTCGTAAATTTATTGTTAAACAAACATTTCGGCTTGGTAAAGCCTATAGCAATGACACATAATAGG